TCAAAAAAAATTGAAACCTGGTGGTAGCGTTGGCCACCTTCCCTTGTCAGAGAGCTTTAGCCTTTACTGCACATGAAAGTGTTGTATCTAAACAAACAAATGAAGAAGTCAAGAATGCATTTGAAACTTTAGATTGCTAAAGCAATAAGAAAACATAATTAAGCTAAACATGAAAAGTAAGTCTTAGGTTGTTCTTGTTTGTCGGTGCTTTTTTGGGATTCGTTGGAACATTTGGTTAAACAAAAGTTAAACAAATGCGTAAATGCTTCAGGAGCCAACATAAGTTTTACTTGGACAAAACAAGTGAATAAACAAGCTGAGAATATCAATTAAACTTTCATGCTTTTATGACAAGAAATTGATTATCGTTGTGAATCATCGTTATGAATCATCGTTCCAATTAATTATGAAAACAATCAAAAATATATGAAGTTTATATCTTGTTATTAAAATCTAGATGTGAAAATATATTGTTCTTTCGATCAAAGTCAACGTGTGATATGATAAAATGTATTGATACGCTACGGTTATTAAGTGCATGCTTAGTTTATCATCAGCGTATTATTATATTATTACAATAAATCCGGGAACTTTAGAGATCCGTGTTTCCTTGATTAATTTTTTGATACAAATTTAACTCAGGTAATCAACTTTGGCAATCAATTTCACACAACATTGTAATGTTATTCGATTCTTTATTTATTTCGAGTTCTCGTTTTGTGCAAATTTTAATAAAATATATTAATAAAAACATATAAAATAAATTCTGAGAAGTTAGGGATTTGACCTTTTTAGATGATTAGGTGAGTTTAGTCTACATTTTTCGGTTCTTAATCAATATTTATGCAACTAGTTTATTAGAGGCATAAGGGGCAGCTAGCTTCTGTGAAGAGTACAATGAAAAATCATTTGATAAATTTTTCAGTGAAATGGAATTAATTAACTCAATTTTCAGTTGAAAGACTAAATACTAAGACTACTGAAGGAGGCGATTGTTCAAATTACCATCACCAGAGCACCATTTATTGTTATTAATCAATTTCTTTTTCGCCTTTTCGCAATTCAATTAGCCAAAGTATCTGAAAAGTACCAAAAGACTGGCAACAAAATCGTATCAGATGTGATTCACACTGAAATGAATTTAAATTTTGAACAATGTGCATCATTATGTCATGAATGGTGACACTGGATGTAAATCATTTAGTTATTGTCCTAAAAGTAAAACAGAAAGTTCTTGTTCATTGACTCAATTTTCAGTTAAAATTTCAAATACTAAGCCCACTGAAGGAGGCGATTGTTCAAATAACGAGTTGAAAGGGGAATCAAATGAAAAGAAAAGCAAAGAATCCAGTTCGATTGAGTTAACTAAAGGAACAAGTGGATCAGGTGCCTTTGGAATAATTATTATTGTTATTATTTCTCGGTGGCTTATTGGGATTATTAAATGATATTAAATAATAAAATTATGTCTTGTTGACAAAATGCAACAAAAGAAAGAGCATTCGTTAAAGCCCTTTTAATTCTCTTGCTAATTGTATTTACAATGGGTAAACTCGTAAACTCTTTTGTAAAGTTCTGGTAGTGATACCTCCAATAAATTGTTGTCCCTTGATTGCTCGAAGATAGAGATGAACTGTTCAGAAAGTTACTCAAACTTATTTTTCACGCCTTATTAAAACATTATGAAAACCATAGACAGACATATATTTGCGGTGTATTAAATTTGCTGGATGACATTTCTAAAGGTCATGGTAATGAGCAACAATTAATGATTATAACTCGTGATTCTAATGGTGATCCATGGATCTGACTTGGAGTCATTTGCTAGTAAATCATGAGATTATGG